AATGTGCAACAAGTAGAATCATGTACAGTCGTCAGGGCTAGGCGAGGCTTCCAAGTAATAGTCCGAAGAGAAGCACGCTATTTGTATAGTATTGTTGTAGCATATGTCCGATGTTTACAAGTTTCGTAGCTGATGTCTTCCAACAAGCGCGCAGTACTCATCTTATTTTCAGGTAATTCTTGTCTTGCAATGATGAAGGTTGCTCTGTTGATGTCAGTGGTTGCTGTCGCTTTTGGTAGGTTCATTCAACTGAGCTTGGAAATTCAATAATTTTTTCTTCGAAAATGGTTATTGAATGAAACGGCACAAGCGTAGTTGGGAGGTTGGGGTGGGAGCACTATGGTGCAATAGACCGTGGTGCGATCCGTAACACCGTAATCCGACTTTCGAGCACGAGTGACGGACGAATCTGTTTGGTAAGTGTATTATTTTTTGCCAACGGAAACAAGGCAAGCACAATTTTTCCCAAATGTGACGAAGATTTTTGGAAATATTTGATATCTCAACTCTTTGTACTTTCCAGTATTATGGTATTGGAAGGGTTAGCGCAATCTTAATGAGGGTAGGCCTTTTCGCGCATTCAAAACAGCGGACTCTTTCTTTCGTTGTAAACAAGCTCATTTAGTCTCCTCTTTGCCCAAGGAAGACGGCTCTCTACCCGAGCTTTCTCCCCTGATAAGTAACACGAATGTTGTACTTGCGTGCCTTGACACTGGTTACACAGCGCCTAAGCGTTCTTAACCGTCAAAGATTCATGTTTGTTGTCGTCAGAACTAGCTCTCACTCGGTGTAAAATTTTCAGGTTTCAAGTGTGAATCTCCAAAGCACTCGGCTACGTCATTTTCAACTACCGATGGCTTCTTCCACTTTCATACAACTTTCATTGCAGAGTTCACATTGCAGTGCAGTAATAACATAAAGGTTGGCATTTTCCCACACATTATATAATTTGTGCTTTCTTATATTTCTTGATTTCTTACCAATTGGATGGATATTTTGTTCGCAACAGTATTTGTTGTTGTTACTGTTTTATCTGCAACCGGCTTTGTCTTCGGCATCGAGCAAAACCACCTTTTTCCTGTGAATGTTTTATGCCTGTTGCTGTGCTCACTTACCTTCGTAAAGCCAACACTTCGTGGGCGAGAAGCGCATGCATGAAAAAGATGTCTTTTATGGGAACAGAGCCCATTCATAGTCGGTCGTCCGATCGTTACGACTATAACGATAGCACAAGCCGCGGTCGGGGAGCGGTCAACAGAATCGTCCGAGAGTCGCGCGGCCACTTACGCGGCTTCGCAACGCGGCACCTTTCCGATGGGCGTGGCAATTTTTGAATTTGACGATTGGAACTCAGGATAATCTATGTAGAACGCGGATATTGAAGCTAATCTGGAATATTCTAATTCCCACAGTTTGTTATCGTAACATTGAAAAGGAGCGGAATGAAGGGCCCGAGAAAACTAAAACTATCCGCGCATTGAGTAAAACTGACTGTTAAAGGGACGGGTCATGGTGTCCCTGTAACATCGAATTCAAATGACGCTCATAGAAACTCTTCCACAGCAGTCGCGACCACGACCAGTAGCGAGGGCTCCGGATGATTCTGTTCACATACACCCGCCACGGTCGCATGATGGAGGCGACGCGGTGACCCAATGCAAAGCCCAAAAACACGTGACTGCGCGTCACGGTATTTCAAAAGCCTGGTTGTTAGAGTTTGGATTAGTAGATGCCTATCGATCGTGCGACACATGCGATCGTAACGATCGCATGTGTCGGACGTCAGGCGATCGATACTTGTCTAGTGCTGCGACCGTTACGACCGGACGATCGACTATGCGTGCGCCCTTATCGCCGTGTCGAAAATTTTTGAGCAGCTTTGGTGTTAGGGGTGAGATTGGTCATGAAATTTTTGGAGCACCACTACCGTAACACTTGCTGGTTTGACTGTTTTGTTGATGAGCCGTTACTCTTATCAACTCCTCTGTCGCAGCCACTACAAGCAACAATAACATAAATCATAAAAGAGTCACGATTCGAGTCTTACATGCCAAATGACCCTAATTGAGTGAACTTATGCAAGTACAGAACCACGCACCGCAACAGCGGCAGCGGATAATTCGCGAACTAGCATCGCCTGAGTAGAATTTTAGATTGGTTGGGTGCGGACTGCTTGCCGAGTTGCGACTCTACTTTTCAAATCATCAAAAGCGATGATGAACGAATACCCTCCGATTGAGTGACCCCACCAATGTTGAAAGTCTACGGATCGTTCAGGCATACACTCCCACTTTTTTGACCATCATTTAAAAGCTTCACTTCAACGCAGCTAGTGTGTCTTTTTTCTGGTGCGCTCCGATCCGTCACAAGATCTAGGCCATATCCTATCCTTTTTGGCTAGGGGAATAAAAACCCCTTCAATTTTTCTTTGTCTTCCAATTAAATCCTTGACAAGCTGCATATTTGTTATGTATGTATGTGCGTAAAAGCAAGCAAGTGTGGAAAGTGTGAAACTATATCGTTGAAAACAAATAGATTCTAAGAACTCTTTTGCTCTCCTAGCCTGGGAAAGGGTAAGACACGGCCCCTGAGCATAATACAAGCTGTTCGGCAATTCGTAACCATTTCGTATTCATTATTTTTCACTCGTTGAATTAGATTGAGTGAAATGAAGGCTCCCCCACTTTCTTCACGA